AGCGGTGGCCACCTCCACCGCCTTTGCCCGAGGCATCGCTCTCAGCGACATTTGCCGGGCAGCCACTTGGTCCTCTAGCACGTCTTTCGTTCATTATTATGCTATAGTACGGCGCTGGGCCCTGGACGCAGCAGTAGCCTCCGCAGTTCTAGCATCTACAGATAATCATTGACCCGGTATGCATCTTGACTACTGCTATGTTGTCACCTAGAGTGGAGCACCCACGGGGACCACTCGAAGAAGGGGAAGTTACTCACCTGGTGTAGTAACGATTGTTCTTCGAGATGTGTCCCCGTGGGTGCTCCACGTCCTGCCCTCCTCCCCGCTCTGGGTCTGTCTCCTTGTCTCGTTACAGATTCCGGACGGTGACATGAACTGGCAGAGGGGCCGGACCGCGGGACTGAGGAAACCGCGCGGGACCTGCCACGCATGCGCGGTCCGGCGCCGACTACAGCTATGAAAAGCCTCCGATCAGCGGCGCCGGGACAAGCCCGACACCTAGAGTGGAGCACCCATGGGGACACATCTCGAAGAATGATCGTTACTACGCCAGGTGAGTAACTTCCCCTTATCCACAGGCTGACCTTACTCTGGCTGGCATCTCTCTGCTGAAGATTAACAGGGTTCAGCTTCTGCAAGAGACGCTTATGCAGCCACACTCCATGCCACTTTGGTTCTTGGAGGACCGTATGAGGAATGGTTTGAGTGAGTGTAGTAACATGGTGATGGGGAAATGGCAATGAAACTTGCCATTGTAGACAAGGCCTCTGTGTATTGCTAGGTGTTTTGTAGGATGAAGACCTTATTTGTAAGCTCTGAAGCAGCAATTTGTCTACAAACCCTGAAGCCGTGTGTTAATTTGTTCTGGGGCTTCTACTCTTTGAATTGGTGACACAAACTGTGAAAGTTTCAGAGCAGGAGAACTTTACCTATTTTTCCAGGTCTGTTTCACTGCATAGCTGGGATTGTATACATTTATTTAAAATACCCATAACCAGTGTTTTCTCTAAGGTGTGCACCTACATGGCTGCGCACAAAATATTCTAAGTCTTCCCACGTCCTTCCCATAGCTGCACAGCAGCCCTCATCTTCCTGCTAGACCTGGAAGATAAGTGGCATGACTGCTCCCATGATTGGCGCCGTGTTGAGGGGCAGGTGCTCTGGTGGTAAGAGCCGTGTTGGGGGGTTGGTGACTGCCACCAGGGCTAAGGCCTTGTTGGGAGGTGGCACAAGAGCTAATAGTAATCGAGCTGTTCAAATGCAAGTGGTAGTCCATACTTGGTATAACACTGCATCTTTATAGCACTCCTTGGACTAACACACTATTCAATCCAGAATAGTAGACATTATTATTATTTAAAAACTCTGTTTATAGAAATGTGATTTGTCTGGCTTAGGGTTATTTGGCTTTGTTACTGGCCCCTGCTGAAGGAAGGGTAGCAGATGATGTGAGCTAATGATATAATGTGGTATAAGTTCTACAGTATATCAACATACTCATAATTTTGCACTACTGGTGTTCTGTGTGTGGGGCAATGGTAAACAAAATGTCTCATGGGGCCCACATAGAACCTTAGTGGATTGCATGTGGCCCTTTGGCCACAGGTTGCCCTTGGATCACAGGCTGCCCAGCTGGTTTCCTGTGTGTGGAAAAATGATGAAAGGGCCATTTTAGTTGGGAGATGTAGCAGATTTATTAGAAGTTGGAAGCATTTGATCTTTAGTGATTGAGTGAGGTGTGAAATTTACAATGGTGCTTTTGGCACACATTGTGCCATGTTGGGCTGGTGCATCTTTTAAATGCAATGAGCAGTCCTGTGGCGCCTTAGAGACTAACAAATATATCCTGGAAAAAAAAACCAACAACAAATGGTCTGGTAGCACTTTATAGACTATCAAAACATGTAGATGGTATCATGAGCTTTCGTGGGCACAGCTCACTTCTTCAGATAACTGATCAAGTAAAATCCACTTGATCAGATGAGGTTGAAGTGGTTTTTACCCACAAAAGCTCATGATATAATCTCTAAGGTGCCACAGGACTGCTCATTTTCAAAGTTACGCCTACCCTTTTTATGTAGATCTTTTCTGATCTTTTTATGTAATATGTTTTGTCATTTTCCAATGTGTACAACTTCATTAATATCACAGCATATTGTACATATATTAAATATTCCCATATAATAAGTTATTCCAAGTACTCTACATAATCACTGAATCATTGCAGCCCTCGAGATTCCTTCGATATTGCTGTAGCTAGTCTCATACATGTACAGATGTATGGGTACTTTTGAGAGGATTAATGTGTAAGAGTCTACTGCTATTATCCATGGATTGTCCAGAGCAGATACTAGAAAGATGTCATTCTTTAAGTGTATTCAACTTTGAAATATTAGACAGTTTAATTTTTCTTTAGTACATAGGTCATGGAGGGTCAGGTCTCACCTTGGGACATCCCTCTTGTCTGGGGAGAACTACTCTGAAACCGGTCTGTGTACCAAAAATGGCTATGATTCAGAAGAAGGTCCTCTGGAGCAACTTGCTCAGCCATGTTTTCTCCCATAGTGACCTCAAACCAAATGGTTTCCACCAAAGCAGAGCTTACAGACTATCAGATAAAATAATACAATCTCTTCCCCGGAGTCCTTAATCGCATAGAATCATAGAGTAGGAAGAGACCTCAGGAGGTCGAGTCCAACTCCCTGCTAAAAGCAGGATCAATCCTAGCTAAGTCATCCCAGCCAAGGCTTTGTCAAGTCACAGCTTAAAAATCTGGAAGGATGGAGAGTCCACCACTGCCCTAGGTAACCCATTCCAATGCTTCACCCCCATCCTGCCAAGTGAAATAGTATTTTCTAATATCCAACATAGACCTCCACCATGGCAGCTTGAGATCATTGCCCCTCATCCTATCATCTGTCACCACTGAGAGCAGCCTCTTTCCATCTACTTTGGAACCCTCCTTCAGGTAGTTAAAGGCTGCTATCAAATCCCTCCTCACTCTTCTCTAGATTAAATAAGCCCAAATCCTTTAGCTTCTCCTCCTAAGTCATATGCTCCAGCCCTCTAATAATTTTTATTGCCATCCGCTGAAGTCTTGCCCGTATGCCCACATACTTTCTGTAATGGGGGGAATGGCAGAATTGGATCCAATACTCTGGATGTGGCCTCACCAGTGCTGAATAAGGGGAATAATCACTTCTCTCAATCTGCTGGCAATGCTCCTACTAATGCACCCCAATATGCCGTTAGCCTTCTTGGCTACAATACACACTCTTGACTCATATCCAACTTCTCAACCACTGTAATCCCCAGGTCCTTTTCTCCCCAACTACTGCTTAGCCACTCAGTCCTCAACCTGTAGCAGTGCTTGGGATTCTTCTGTTCCAAGAGCAGGACTCTGCATTTCTCCTTATGGAACCTCATCAGATTTCTTTTGGCCCAACCCTCCAATTTGTCTAGGTCACTCTGGACCCTGTTCCTACCCTCCAACGTATCTACCTCTTCCCCTAGCTTAGTGTCATTTGCGAACTTGCTGCGAGCCATCCCCTCATCCAGATCACTAATAAAGATGTTTATCAAAACCTGCCCCAGAACCAATCCCTGGGGCACTCTTGGTACCGACCGCCAACCAGATCTTCGTGCCGTTGGTTGCTGCCCATAGTCCATTTATTCAATCCATGCTATTTTAACTTTATGGCAAGAATGCTATGAGAGACCATATCAAAAGCTTTTCTCAAGTCAAGATATATCACATCCACTGCCTTTCCCATGTCCACAGAGCCAGTTACTTCGTCATAGAAGGCAGTCAGGTCGGTCAGGCATGACTTGCCGTTTTTGAATCCATGTTGGCTATTTCTGATCACCTTACCCTCTTCCAAGTATTCTGTGAAGCCGGGAGATAAATAATCTGAGAAAAGGATGGGGGAGCTTTTCTTGAAGGAGAGTCAGTGTATTGAGGTGAGATTATTTGAGATCCTTTAAATGTGCATAATCTTGTGGCAGTGCCTAACCAGAAGGCAAAAGGCACCCTGAAATGGGCTTAGTATTTGGTACCTCAGCTGGGGCTGACATTTGGAGAAGGAATGTTTGAGAATTCATCTCTTCAAATTAACTGTATCAGGCCTGGTCTAGACTGCCTTATTTATCTACAATCTAAGAATCGGGGATGTTCCTCCTGTCTGTGATGATTTAAAGATGAAATTTTATTCTCAAACAATTTATGGGATATGAAGAATAATTTAAGAAAAGGATGGACATGAATATCCATCCAGAAGGGGGGTGGGTGTGGGTGTAAAAGAGATGGCATGAATCACCTGGACCGAAGCTTTTCTCCAGTCTTACATACAGAGCATGACATATTTAACAAAATAAGAATGGTATGAAAGATAGGAGGGAAAAAACCCTTTTCTCTACTCTACCACCAGGGATGGAGGATTGAGTTGTGTCAGTAGCAGATAAACTGATAATCTTAGGACTTTTGTGGTGCACAGTGATTTGCCAAACTTTCGTACTTGCCACTGTCTCTTTTTTTTCAAGCTTTGTATGTTTATATACTTGGGTCATTTGTTTTTGCATGGATTTTAATTGTTCTCAGATTAGTACTATATAGAATGAGGGGGGAAGAGAAGATCAGAAATGAAAGCAGAAAATGTTGCATGTCTAAATCTGCCCTAAGTGACAAAATAGTTGCTGATTTGTGATCACAGAAGTCACAGGGTACCTGAGTCATTGTTTCAGACTTGAATGTCTTGTTGAGGCTCCCATTTGCCACCTGGGGTGAAATAGCCTCAAGGACAGACAAGTGTCTGAAGTGGCAAATGGATGTGTATGGTTTGTGGCAGGCCTGAGTTACTTAACTTGTGATTGTGGGAATAAGTTTTTGTATGTTTTAGATGAAGTTTTATCTAAAGACTTGATTTATTACATATATTTAACTTAATTGCAACAGTGACCCCTTTCTTTTCTTTGGGATTAATATAAAATGTTCTTTCATGCAGGACACAGCTTAGGTTATGGTTTTGTGAACTACGTGAGTGCTAAAGATGCTGAAAGAGCAATAAACACGTTGAATGGCCTGAGACTTCAGTCAAAAACAATTAAGGTAACAAGCTTAATATTATAAAAGTGCAGCTTATACATAAAGAACAGTTAACTGGAACTCTGTCTTCTAAAACTTTAATGCATTTTTCTAGTAGGCCTGCTGATGGAGGGTGGGGGTTCAAATCTCTACCTGGGACGATCTAGGTGGCACTGAGGGCCAGTGGCCCTGCCCTTCCCAGGAGCACAGAGCTTGTTCGTGACTTTGCCCAAGGGCCTGGCAAGTCTGTCAGCTTTTCTGGTTGTGTCTGTAATTCCTTTTAGACCTCCTTATCTGCCCTGTAAAATTAAAAGTTCAAGTATGAATCCTGTTGATTTAATATCTTGTATAACTTAAAGCAGTGCTTCTTTTGACACAAGAAAATATTTGAAAAGCTTGACTGGTGAGAAATTATTTTGAAAATATTTAATTAGTGTTTTGTTCTTTCATTACGGTATTAAAATTGCTTTGAGAGCATTTGGACTAATTTTCATAAATGTTGGTAACTAGCAGCTGCCACTGAAGTGTGGATTGCTGAGTTTTCAGCCCTTTTTCTTCTCTAAGATTCCGAAGTGTCTGTTTTTTTAATATCACTCTTAAAGCATAATGGGGTCAGCCCATGTAGGTGGCTCAAAGTGGCCATTTGTTTTATAAATGTATTTGTGAATTATATTGGTAACTTACATTGAAAAAAGTTCTTATAAGCCTGTGACTTTTTAGGTTCCATGCTCAGATGAGTATTTAATTTTGTCATTTGCTCTTCTTGAATTAATGTTGTGCTTCAGTGAGCACCAGAAACCGAGAACAGTGTATATAAGGGAACAGTGTAGTGGAATGAGCTGTCAAACACCTCAGCTTCTGTAATAGCTTTATTTCAAAGATTCTCTTTCTCTCTCTCTCTCTCCTTCCCTCCATTTTTAGAGCACCCATCACTATAGTATCTAGGTGCCAATTTACATACTCCTGGTGTACATAATTACTGGCAGGTCATGGGTTCTATCCCAATGCCACATATGACGACTGTGGTGTCTGTGCACAGTAGGTAAGATTATTCCAGATTGTTGCCTGGCTTTTGGATTGAACTCATGTAAATCTCAGGTACTCAGTGAGCTCTGCCTTAAAACAAGGGAGACGTGCACAATGTATGAATATCATTGTCCTGAAAAGGACAAATTGTCAGCTCTGTTGAAATGTTTGCTTGTAACTCTTTCTGAAGTAGAAGGCTAGAAAAGAGGCTAAAAGCTGTACTTTCGCTAGTGAACTGTTGCTAACTCAGATGCTGAAAGCCTGTACAGATGTCATGAGTTCTTCAACTGATAAGTTCTGTGCTTGAATATAGCTACTGGTTCTTTGAAATTATTAGGAAATAATAGATACCATGCATAAAGCAAAAGTTACTTCAGGGGCTGCTCAGTGTATCATGTCAGTTGGTAGGCTCAATGCTAGGCTTTTTATTGGCTCATCCGAGTAATGCTGCCACTTTGTTTCATTGTCAGTAGAGTCCAATAGTGAAGAGGATTGTGTATCATTTTTTAATCAGACACAAAAACCATTTTTCTCTCTTACTTTTCATTTGCTGGGAATCTTCTTCCTTTTATGAAACTATCATAGCCCAAATTGCAAAGGAAAGATTTTAGATGGGTGTCTTACTACACAGCAAATCATTCATGTAATTTCATACCATAAAATAATTCTTTTGAAGGTGTCATATGCTCGTCCAAGTTCTGAAGTTATTAAAGATGCTAACTTGTATATTAGTGGACTACCAAGGACAATGACGCAAAAAGATGTAGAAGATATGTTTTCACGGTTTGGCCGCATCATCAACTCACGCGTACTTGTGGATCAAACAACAGGTATTCACAATAATGTTAACTATTAAAAATGTGACAATATAGGACACCTACAAATATTAATTCAAAGATTACTGGTGCTTAAAATTAACTTTAAAATTTCCTGGTAATTTTTTATACATATTCAGAAATTAGTTATTGAATTTGGTATTGATCACTACATCTACAGAAGTATAGAACTAGAATGGCAAACATCCCTGTTTTGGATCCTTTTCTGAAACACATGATTTAGAGTACATTTTATAGACTATGCTCTGTAAATTGAGAGAGGTTACAACAAATCCTGTGTTTTTAATACCAATCGGATCATAGGTCTGCCAAATTCTATATCTTTATCCACCAATTGGCCACGACTGGGTGCTTAACATAGAATAATACGCTATCTGATTATGCAGTATGTTATCATTGTAGGGGATCCGTTTGCAACCTGAAGCAGGAGATTTTATTAGTCTCCTTGTGAAAAGTTAAAGGTATGACACAGTGTAGAGGCGGGGAACCTTTTTTGGGTTGGGGACCCCTGACCGACAAAAGAAAAAATCAGTTGGGGGCTGCGCACAAGTGAGAAGCAACAACAAAAAAGGTGGCTCCTGACGGAGAAGGAAAAAGATACTCCCCACATTCCCCTTCCACATCAAAGCCTAGGGGGGCCCAGTCTAGTAGATCTTGTGTGTTCCAGCCCCACAAAGTGGCAACAGCCCCACGATGTAGCAGCAGGGGGGCTGGAGCACCAGTGCAGACTCCGCAGTGTGGGGGGTGGGAGATCCTGAGCCTTGGGACTTGGATCCAGGCAAGCCCAGGGTTGCATCTGGGCCTAAGGTTCCCTGCTCCTGGTTTAGAGGGTATAAGTTTGGCATACAGGATTCCTGAGTTGTATTCCCAGCTCTGCAACAGAGGTTGGGCATGTTGCGTCACCTCTCTACCTCTTTTGGACAGAGGGAGATTGTCAGCTGTGGCAGGCAATAGGGTTCACTCTAAGCTGTGAGCCTGCATTGGCCACGCACAACAAATTTCACGCCTGTCCATCTTGCCTGCCGAGCTGCATAGCAGCGCTCACCACCACTCATTTTCCTGCTGGACAGAAGGTGAGTGGTGATGGGGGGGGTTCTGGTGGGGCTGCGTGGCAGTGGACAGGTACCCTGCCCCCCTTTGCTCAGGCTGGAGCCGTGGTACAGTGAGGCTGTCCCTGTTGGGGCAGCCTCACTGGTCCTGATTCCAGCTACGGTGGGCGGGACGCTGCAGCCCAGCTGGCGGGGCCACGTGGTGGGTGGCTGCTGCGCAGGCGGCCCTGCCCAGAGCCCCATAGCGGGCAGCCCTGGCCAGGGCCAGAGCCACCTCATGGCGGGCAGCAGCAGCAGTTCTGCAAGGGCTGAACCTGTTGTGTGGACCCCCCCCCCCCAAAAAAAACCCTAATCCCCCAGCTTCAGCACTGACCAGGTGGGTGGCTGCTACCCTGCAGTCCTGTCCCCCTTATCCCAAGAGCTGCCGGCTAGCAGCACTGAGCAGCGCAGCCCTAGCTTCTCCCTTGCCCACCAGTTGAGGGAGTCAGGCAGCCCAGCCCCAGCCCTTCCTCCCATAAAGAGCTGTGGGCTGGCCAGGGGTCAGGCAGCCCAGCCCTGCTTCCCCCACAGTGAGCAGCTTCTGGGGGAGGATGGGCAGCCCTGTCCTGGGCCACCCCCTGCAAGGAACTGCTGAAGGAATAGGCAGCCCAGATTAGGTCAGCGAGGAGCTGCCACCTCCCCAACCTCTGAGCCCCCACATCTTGAGTACCCCCTTCCCTGAATCCTGCATCCCCTGGCCTGAGTCCCCCTCTCCCATTCCTCCCATTCCCTGCCCTGATTCCTGTACCACAGGATCATGCACCTTGTTAATTATCCTTTGATGTAATATTGTTTCTTAGAAACAAAATTTTATATTATATATCTAACTGGTTGGTGCCACGGTGGCGCACATCCGAGCAAGCTCACATTGATCTCAATTTTGTTGCACAAGACAAAACTCACTCCATTCATGGATGGGAAATCCTAGAGGGAGCACTGACAGGCAACTCATCTAAGAGAATGAAAACTCCAATTTCAACCCAAGAACATCAGATTTGGCCATCTAGTTTCTTAAATTTATAAATCAGCATGATCTGTAAATCTGGACCCCAGCTGCTGCACAAGGCAAAACAAGAAAGCACTTTTCACAGGTAGATATTATTTAACCATAAATCTGCCTTATTGTTTTGTGTGCGGCTACTTTCATAATTTACACTTAAGCAACTTGAAATTATTCTGTCATTGTGCTTCATAATTTCTCGTTACATTTAAGTATATCTGGAGTTTCTCACAGTCCTAGCTAGTTCCCACTAACCAAAAGAATTTTGATTTGCAAATTTGTGAAGTATTTTCTTTCTTTTCTGAGTATACTGAATTAAAGAAAAAATTACATTAAGAATTGCTTAGTTGAACGCACAGGTCAGGAATAACCAAAGTTAAGGGCTGTTCTTACAACCTTAATTCTGCCTGCTTGTGTGTATATTAAAATACAGCCTTAGTATTTTATGTAATCAGTTGTCAAACTGTGTAATAGCAATTTCTTCAAGTTGGAAATCTACAGTGTGTTCCTGGCTATCCATTCATCATTTATGAATGATGTAAGTATATCTACAACTGCCTTGCCTTATTCATTGTATACTTGTGCAAGTTGTTTTAATGATCTACTGTTTGTAATAGAATATACTGGATTTCTTTAAAAGTAGAAAAGTAATTCCATAATTTCTCTTGAAATGCTCCTTGTACCATTAAAACCTTTGTCTGACACATGAGGTTTTCAGCTGTGAAGCTAATGTGCAGTGAGAGAGAGAGGGCTTTGCAGTGAGTCTGTCTAATTTAAAGGGCATGGTAGGAGATGGTAGCTTTTGAAATATTCCACAAGTGCACTGTCTGAACCCCAAATGACAATAACGGTGCAGCTGTTGCAGGAAGTATCCTGTACACATTGTACAGCTAATTTAGCCATGCCATGTGCAGCACAGCATTCCTTCCCTTTAAAATATTGGTAAAAATTGCACATGCATGTCTGCTACACTCAGATGCTCCTCAGTGAGAGCCATTCTCATGCCAAATTCCAGCTTTCTGCTTACAGTTGTTTTGGAGAAAGATCTGTCCAAACCTAGTCACATTTTGATAATGGAAGAAGTTCTCTCTCTCTCTCTCTCACACAGTGAAACTATTTGATTAGACATCCTCCGAAATAGAGACCAGTCCCAGAGAACTTCATTCCAGTGTGTGAAAGTTTCAGGGGCTTCACAGAAATACTCAATATTTTCAATTATAGCTGTTAAAGTGTAGCAGTTGTAATGTTGGTCTTAAATATTGAGTCTTATAGCACCTTATTAATAACTTTTGTGCATGTTAAAGAACAGATGTGTATTAACCTGGTTGTCCCTTAACCGATTTTGAATCTGTTTCATGACAAGACTTCTTCCCTTAGTATGTAATTCTTTAAGTTTCCTGTGTAGTTTCGTCTCTTATGTCCCATACAAAGGACAGACAGTGTTAATTTTAGAAAACATGTTTATAGATGCATAACTTTAACTCCCTGACCTAAAGAGTTTACAAGCTTACTCAGATAAGCATATAACATGAACACGAGAAGGGAATAGCGGAAATTGAACACGATATAAAAAAAAAAAAAAAAAAAAAACCTGACGGCTGTTTTAGAGCAAGCTAATTATAGGTGATATATTTCAAAATGGCAACCTACGTAGGGCAGGGGAGAGAACTAGAAAAGCACAGAGTAGAAGAGAAATCAGGCTCTGGCATAGCACCTGCTTAAAGCTAGGAGATGCAGCTGCTGTGACTCCCTTTGCAAGGATTTAATTTTTTCTTTTTTCTCCTGGCATACGAACATCTCTTCTGGCTAGTGCACGGGGGTATGTGTGGACATAACCAAACTTGATCTCACTAGTGATCCATCACGTCAAGTCTCCAGTTTTTATCCGTAATTAATACTATATTCAAGACGTGAGAATACCCGAAGTGGAAGATCATAGAATAACATAACACATTTATGGCACTTTTCCTTCCCAGCTAATTTTGGTGAGGCTAGTGTCGTTGGCATTACTGAGTTGAATCTCTATGCTCAGGAAAGGACAAGCAAAATGTAAAAGGACAAGGATAGTGTAATGGGTTGGATCCCCATGTCTAGGATCCCACCTAATTTACTGGGGTTTCACTGAGTTTCTTCCTGCTCCATCAAACTGGATTCCCTCTTCCAGCTTTGCTGAGTTAGGTTATATAGCCTCTTGCAGCATACACACAGGTAGGGCAACATCTAGCTGCAGACATAGTCTGAATTCATCTTAATGTGAGAGGATTTATCTGGCGTGCTTGTGCCACACTCCTTTTGGGGGAGAAACCCGAAATAATACTGGCTTGCGCTGCATGGAAAGATTTGCACAATGTAAGCTTGCCAAAATTTGCCTTCTCCCTCAGTGTGGAGAATGGTATGCACAGCTGCTTCTCCACCCTCCCGCCTCCAAAATAGGACCTGCACAAATTGGGCTGTGTGGTAAACAAGAAATAATGTAATTAACTACAAAGCCAAATGTTAAGTGGTTATAAGAGAGAAGGAAAAGAACAAAGTCAATAAACAAAACCTGAAAACTGAGCTCAATACACTACATTGTCTCCCTTTTATACCTACTTTTCACTTACTAGAAAGCTCTTTTGTTGTGATCTGGGTCAAATAATTCCCAGTGTAGTGCTGTCTCTGAGTTTGTATTGCACACAGTTCCTGGGGTAATCCTTGTGCTTGTGTGGATTTCCTCAGTAAATACCTAGTTCAGAGGCCTCAGAGCTACACAGTGTTTCCTTAGTACAGGGATTGAGGTATGTCATGCTTAGTTTCAGTCCCATGTACTTTAAAATCATGCAGTAAATGGGGCAAAAGCTCCTGAATGACAGACTCCCAATACCTCAGGTGAAATAATGGAACCATAACTGTACTAGGAAGCAGGAAGTGGGTTCCATCTAGCTCTGATTCATTGCTTGATGGCCTTGATTACATCACTTAAACACTCTATGCTTCCTTTTCCTCCCTGTGTAAAATGGAGGTAATGCATACCCACCTTTTCAAAAAGCTTTCTGATCTACATATGTTAAATCTTTAAAAAATGTGGCTCTTGGTAGTATACCTAAGTACATATTTTTTAAAAGGGGAAAGGTTCAGAGAAGATCCAGTAGAATGATTCTACATCTGTCAGACCTATCTACAATGACCTAAGAAGCTTGTTCATTTTAGTTTTCAAAGCAAGAGTTGAGCAATGACAGTTCATGCTTGGAATAGTTTTCTGATAGTAGAGGGCTCTTTTATCTACCAAAGGCATAACAAAATCCGGTGGCTGAAATTTGAAGCTACATAAAAATCAAATTCGAAATTAAGTGCACATTTTTTAGTGTGATTAACGATTGGAAAAGTTTGAGGGTGTGGTGGAAGTATGCATCACTTGGAAGTCTTTAAATCATGATGGCTAGGAATGAGGAGCAAAGCCTGAGCCTCACTACTCAAGTTTGGGAGGGCTAAAGCTGAAGCCCAGGGGACCTGTAACCTGAGCCCTGCCGACCAGTGCTGAAGTTTTTGTGTTTTGCCGTAGGCCCTGGGCAGTGGGACTCAAGCTTCAGCCCCAGGCCTCGGCAAGTTTAAGCCATCCCTTGCAACCCCATTAATATGGGTTTGACCCACTTTGGGGTCCCATCCCACATTTTGAGAACTGTTACTCTAGCCCAGGGTGGGCAAAAGGGCCTCTACAGGCTGCATCCGGCCCACCAAGCGGGTGGATCCAGCCCGTGGGGAGGCCCTGCTTCTCGCAGGGTGGGGTCAGAGCACAAAGCCTCTCCCCACTCTGCCAGGAGCACATGGCGCTTTGAAGCACCGCACGCTGCTCGCAGGGCAGGGGGGAGAGCAGAGGAGGCTTCGCGCATTCCCCCGCCCTCAAACTTCCTTCGCCCTGCCCCGACCGTGTGAGGAGCCCGTGGCACTTCAAAGTACCACTTGCTCCTCGCAGGGTGGGAGGAAGCTTCCTGCGCTCCCCCGCCTCTTCCAATCATGGTCTGGGTATGGGTAGCCCCACCCCTTCCTGTTTAGGCCCTGCCCTTTCCAGGGTGGCCCAGGGCTACTTCAAAAATTTTTGAAGTGGCCCCCGGGCAAACATTTTTGCCCACCTCTGCTGTACCCTAACCACAAATAATGGGGTTGGTGTAAGAATCACAGGGGGATATTCTGTGGCTTCTGTTCAACAGACTAAATAATCCTAATGGGGTCTCTTCTAGCCTTTGAATCTGAGTAATAGTGTGTATCATCAGCATAGATTAATTTCCTATTTGAAAACTATGTTTCTGGTTCAGGTCTCTAGATGTTTTGAGTTTAAAAAAAAAAAAAAAAAACCTGAGCAAAAACAAACGGGTTTTAGTCCAACAGTCCCTTCACATTTCTCCTTGGAAAAAATTTAAGTTTACCTGAAATACTTTTAATGTCAGTTGAGTGGATTTGCTAGAATGCTTGTACATTGTGCAGTTTTTTATTTTTGGACTATAAACTTCCATTTTGTAAATGTTTTGCTTACCATCCTCAGATATTGAAGTAAATGTGCTCATTTGTGTAATTTCTGTATTTTTAAAAGTTTGGATTTTTTCCTGTTAAAAAGTCAGTAAAACTGTAGAACTTAAAGCTATGGCCTTAGAAATGCTTAATTGTTGTTGTTTCACTTTGCAAATTGTTTTGAACTTATCCTGAATGGTTTTTTTTTTTTTTTTGGTTTGATTAAAAGGTTTGTCCAGAGGGGTCGCTTTTATCCGCTTTGACAAAAGGTCAGAAGCAGAAGAGGCAATTACAAGTTTCAATGGTCACAAACCCCCAGGTTCCTCTGAACCCATAACTGTGAAGTTTGCAGCCAATCCTAACCAGAACAAAAATGTGGCACTATTATCACAGCTATATCATTCACCAGCTAGACGATTTGGAGGGCCAGTTCATCACCAAGCACAAAGATTCAGGTACGTTAGGAAGAATAATCCATGTAAAGTAGGGATGTGATTGTTTAACCAGTAAGCATTACCCTTACTAAGTTATGCTTGCCAGTTATGGTTAACTGGAGCAGCCCCCTTGCCCATCCTTATTTAAGCGGTTAACTGGTTAATCGATTACCAGCTTTAAATCAGGTAACAGATTAAATGGGATGTTACATCCCTAATTTAAGCTCTATGCTGTCACCCTCACTTCTTCTGAGAAGTATTGCACTGTTTCATCTGCAAAGTAATAAAGGTGTGAATAAAAGATGCATTTGTGTATTTTTGTGGTGTGTGCATGCATGTGTATATATGCATGTGTATGTATCTAAAAATTGCTCAAGTAGAATATGATTAAAGTAATAAAATTAACTGTGTTGAATCCAATCAAGTTTCTAGTTCTACAAAGTGGCACATAGAAAGTGTATGAAGTGGTGGTGTAGCCATGTTGGTCTCAGAACTTCTATTGACTATGTCCACCCAACTTGCCTGTTCCCACTTCCCCTCCTCATCCAAATGTTACCATCAGCAGCTCCTGGTTGCTCTGCTTCTTGAGGAGGAGATCAAGGACCCAGAATTGCTGGTGGAGAAACAGCAGCTGGGAACTAAATGGCCCCAGAGGATACCAGACAAAAGTAATGGCCCCAGCAGGAAGAGCCAGCCTGCATTAAATATATTATGAGGTAGAAGGGAATTGCGTTGATTGACTTGTAGGTAGGGGCTATCCCTCTTCCCTGGTGCCACATGAGAAGCTTACTAAGTGTCAGCCCATGTTCAGCAGATGGTAAAACTTGGTTTGATTCATTGTGGGTGTGTCTAGACTACATGCCTCCTTCGACGGAGGCATGTAGATTAGCCAGATCGGAAAAGGGAAATGAAGCCGCGATTAAAATAATCGCGGCTTCATTTAAATTTAAATGGCTGCCCCGATCTGCCGATCAGCTGTTTGTCGGCAGATCGGGGCAGTCTGGACGCGACGCGCCGACAAAGAAGCCTTTCTTGATCGGCACAGGTA